TAATTCCCTGGTTAAAATCGGGGTACACACACCCAGGACTTTGAAGGCATCACCCGGGTCCCAGAAATCACCATTACTCTAATCCCCCTGCTGCAGCAACATCTGGGAAATTCCAAGAGAATTCAGATCGCTACCTATTTTTCCAAAAGATAAGAAGAGAGAGAGAGAAAAAAAAGCCCATTTCGGCACCAAAGCGGCACTTGGCTGGCCTGCACGATGCCCACTCGGAGGGCGAATCCGCAGCTGCAGACTCAAGCCTGGTATCAGAGAAGCCTTTGCCCAGACTCGAAATGCATCCCTAGCAGCCCCCGCGCTCACAACACCCAGACGCCCCAGGAGTTAGTGCTTCCGGGACACGCCGGCACAAGCGCGCGCACGCGCGGAGCGTCGCAAGCCTACTCTCCCTCTCTGAAACTGCCCGCGGAGCGCACCGGTGCTTGGGAGCTGCGGGGGGCACTAGAGAAGGCCTACCTGTCGGTCACGGCCCCAGAGCACCTTGGAGCCGCGCGGCACCAAGGTGTCCATAAGCAGCCAGGCACCAGCTTCCACGACTAGCTGGAATCTGCCCTCGTCCAGCTCTGCGCCGCACAGGAGTCCGCCTGTGACATTTCGCGGCGATGGCAGAGGACATTAAGATCTCCATCCCTCCCCCGACCCGATGGCATCAGATTGACAGATTGCGCTCAAGTGGAAGGCTCGTGGTGCACCTTTGCTGAATTGTTCTGGACTCAGTTCTAAGTAGTTGTAGTCATCCCCGCTGGGGGGCGGTGAAGTAATACGGACATCTGCCATTAAATGCCATTAACTCTTAGCTGCCTTGCAGCTTTTATGGAATTTCACCAATGATTTATTTCGTTGGCTTTTCCTGATAAACATCTTTCTAAAAAAAAAAAATAGCTGTGCGATAGTTTTTAAGTGCTTAAAAGTAATCATTAGTTCTGCACTGTAGCAGGTATTTTTTTAAAAAATGCAGTTTATCAAATTAATGTGCAGATGACAAGACTGGCGTTGACTAAAGTTCAGCTAGTTTGGATTTGTGGGAATAACTTTAGATTTTTTTGGTTTTTGTTTTTTAACACTTGAAGAATACTATTATTTGTATAGCAAATATTTTACAAATAAAAATTGACATGTCAACAATGTTTCCTGCCCACACTTTTGTTTTCTTTAGAAAACATAACTTTTAAACATAATTTGACTTGGGACTAATTGTTTTTCAGGATTTATCATTTTTTTTGTGTGTGGATGATTCCTGTTCAAAATATGTATCAGATCAATACATTGACAAATAGTTATTGCGGAACAAATACACATGCAATCATACTAAACAATTTTATAGATGTCTACATATCAAGTATACAATCATTGATAGATGTCTAAGGAAGCTATATTGCTCCTTGTTAGTACAGTGGTTAGTAGAAAAAATTTAAAAAGCGATATTGCTTATACTGTAACATTTAACTACAGTTTATCCATTTTCCAAAGAATCGCTAACATGAGATTCGAAAATCTGTACTTCTCTTGCTTACTGTGGCTTCATAATCGTAAGTGTCTAAATTTGATAGGAGGTCTGACTCAAGGAAGAAAATTTATAAAGCTACTTTATTACATTTTGTTTTTATGTTACATTTGAAATCTTATATAATATACATAGCAATGTGCTTTTTAAGATAATGTACAAAGACTGAAAAAGTTATAGCAGTTTAGTTCTACTTAAAGTAATACATACATTGTCTGCACCCTTTGGTGGTCTCTAGGGATGTAAGATACCGTGTTCTGTAGGGTATTTTATCCAAATCCAGTAGTGGCTGGAGGAGTCAGAAACTCTAGACACACAGATAGTCCATCTGGCTGTCTGGTGGCAGCAAAGGAAGAACTGAGATTTCCAGGGCAACTGACAGGGCCAATGGGAGGTGGGCAGAAAATCTAAGGAGGTACGTAAGACTTTCACCCAATACAGGCACTGTGCTTTAAATACCATTCTGATTCTCATTTGTGTTTAACCACCTTTGTAAGATCTACTACATTGCCTTGTTCCATTTTACTTTTTGTGACTGCTATAATACACTGTATTACGTAATATATGCTGTATTTGACTTATTGATTCACTTACTGATGGACATAGTTTGCCTCCAACATTTTACTAAGATAAACAATGCATCGTATCTCACCCCAACTTCATTTCCTCAACCAAGTCTGACTCTTTAAGAAGTATCCAACACATGGTATGAACCTGAACTGAGTGCTTAGCAATTAGTAAATATTCAATGAATTCTTTTGGAACTGATTTATGGAGGGCCTCAAAAACCAAGTAGTATGTTTATTTGACTTTAGATCAATTTGCAAAATCTAGCCACTTCCAGAATGAAAAATTTGTCTAATTTGCCAAAAATCAATTTACATTACTAATTTGATGAATTTTTGAGGTCTGTTAACAAAGTTCAAGTTCTACTCATGCCTCATCCTTCTGTGAGGCAAGCCAAAGAGCAGGGGCAGAGCATAGTACCTAAAAATAGAGATGAACTGCAAACTCCATTTAAGAAAAACTTCACATATTTGTATATTAAATAGTAGATGCAAAACTAAAGCTTTGACAAAAACTATTTGATAAACTACCTTTTAACGCTAATAAAAAGCTTAGAAATTAAATAAAACTAGTTTTATTTCATAAGAAAACCTATAGAGATAGGCAGGGTCAGCAGCTCAACAATGTGGGGACTAGTATCTCTGTGGTTCTTTTGGTCCTTCCTTCCCTTGTAGTTGAGAGCACTACTCCAGCTCCAGCTGTTACTTCAGAAAGTAACAGGGGGAAGAGGTGGCCAAGCTGCATCTATCACTTTAATCAGGAAGCAAAAGTTTTCCTAGAAATCCTAAGGCCACCTGTAGCTGCACAAGAGACTAAGAGGATAAGCAATTAGCTTTTCCAGGTTCTGTAGTGGAGGCTGGTAAGGGAGAAGGGGGTTGGGAATGATTGTCAAGTTGGACACCGATATTACCTTCACAGATAATTTCTCTTTCAAAATGGGTAGTTTATATGTCAAGACATTTCTATCAATAATTTTAAGATTATAATTTGAAACTCAGTTCTGCTTTCAATCATGACATATTTTTATCAGATGCATTCCATCTATACTACTTTTTCTTGTTTTTTTCCCCCTGCGTTCTACAATGGAGCTAAGATTACTTAATCTTTCAAGAAAAAGTGGTAAAAAAAAATCAAAAGGCCAAAATCCTTTGAACTACTCTTCTACTCAGTCATTGTCCTTCCACACCAAAGAACATCTGAAAAACATCTCCACATCCTTTGGCATTTAAGAACTGATACAGCTGACCAAAGTCCATGTGGTTTGCTCTGGCTCCACTAACACTGAACACTTTTTCTTCAAAAATGGAGAATTTCCTTTGTCTTTCCATTTCATCATTTGTACCATCAAAAGGAATATCTTCTCGATGGCGAATTAAAATTCTCTTCCAGTTTAATTTTCTGAGTCTGAAAAGAAATTTTCAAAGCAAAAATTATCAAAATGTGTTGTATATTCCAAAGCACTGAAAGCAGAAGTTATAAAACAGATTTATTCTATGCCTTTTTCTAGAAGTAAAAAAGTCAACTTTTATCTCACAGGAATTTATTTTAATCAAATGTGATTCTGGTGATAATCCCATCCCTAAACTCATTTGTTACCATTATTAATGTCTCATATCAGTATATTAGAAATGTGGAAAATTGCTGAATCTCAAATTAGTGAAGGACCTTAGCAGAAACTCATGTAGGATATCAGTAGAGAAATGAGAAGACTGGCAGCAATTCCAATCCTTCCAGAAAACGCCTTGTTTCACAGGGTATACAGTTTACGACATCACTAAGATGAGGGACGAATCAAATCCATGGAAATAGATGGGATGATAGACAGAGTCCTGGGTAGAGGCTGAATTCATTCGACATTTACAGAATGTCTCCTATGTGCACTGTGGCAGGTGAGGGGGAAAATGCTTACAATATAGATTTATGCCTTATCCATTGACTTGAGACTGAATCCCCATGAAAATATTAATACAACCCCCGGGACATACTTATTTCCACATCTCCAGTACAGCCATGCATCCCTTAACGACAGGGATACAACCTGAGAAATTCGTCTTTAGGCTATTTTGTCATTGTGTGAAATTCATACAGCATACTTACACAGATCTAGATGGTATACATTTTCACATGGAAAACCCATGTGAAATGCCCCAGCACCATTACTGAATGTCAATCATTTCCTCCACTTGATCTGCAATGCCAATATCGAGTGCCATATATCAGGTTCCTATATATGCTCCATTATAATCTTACAGGACTACTGTCATATATGCAGTCCACTGTTGACCAAAACATCTCTATGCAGCACGTGACCATAACTTGTTTAGTATTAAAATTATTGACATGCTATATAAAAAATGTGAAAGCAAACCTTGACCAGAATTCTTCACAGGCACTTTGTGGGCCTTCCACACAAACAACACCAGGTTTCCCAGGCATGCTAAACCCAGACAGGGAAAGCTCCTTTGCCCACTCTAGAATACTCTTTCTTTTACATTTGTTGTAGATATGATGGCTGTAGATCCAGAGTCTGGTGAAGATGAGATCGACTGACTGGACTGTGCTTCCTGTGATGGGGGAAGATGAGACATCTTTGCTGACATAGTCAGAGGCATGTTCTCTGACCCACTCTGTGGCATTCAATATACAGACATCTCCAAGACAATTCTCTTGCAGGTATGCAGTCAGATCTGTGTTCAGCTGAGTCTGCTGGGATCTATTTAATAATACTGATCTGATGGAAAAGATATGGGAAAAAATTAAATCAATTTTCTTGGAAGAGAAAAACTCGAGAATTGCTTTTACTCTCAGATTAATTTTGACCTCTAGAGTTGGCAAGAGTTTCTGTAACATACCTGACAGTAATTTCAGGCAGAACTGCAGGGTACTTAAAGGGAAGAATACAGGCTAGAGAAAACATCACCTGATTAAAGAAAAGAAGAAGAAAAATGTCCTAAGTGCTGTTTTAAACCTTGACACGTTTCAGTTCTTCCAAAGATAAAATTGAATTACCATTGCTTCCTCAGATAGGTCCAGGTTCATATTGATAGTAAAGTAAACTTTTGAAGAGCGCCCCTCCATTGTCCTCTTTTCAATACAAGCTTTCAGTTCTGCTAAAGCCAGCTGGTCATTCACTAGGAGCTCATTCTCACCAGGGAACATACTGGTTAGCAGTTCTAACTCAGAGAGCTGGGCCTCTGCCTGCTCTATCTCAATCATTTTTGGACACCTGCAAGTTTCTAAGGAGGTAAAGAGAAGAGAGACAATTTACATATACAATCTTGAAAGAATTCAATAGATCAACATGGGTACTTAATAAAAATGTATTAGATTTCTTCATAAATTGTGAAAATTAATTAATCTCTTTCCCCATTATTCTACTTTCAGATGTAATATGCTAAGACCAAAAATGTGGGACAATCCAGTGAGAGCTATGAAACCCTAGTAACTAGGCACCAAATTCCTCTGTATCTAGAGAGTTGATCTGGCATCTCCAGCTAGCACAGTGAGTAATTTCATTGAAGTAAACCAATTATGTACTCGAAAAGCTACATCAATAATATAACCAGTAGAGAGCATATGACCTGTTAACATTAGAAACCTAGAATGAACACAATGAGTAAGAGAGTTTAGTTATGTGGATGGTTAATTTCTTTTTTGTAAGTAAATATTAATGTCTATTAGTTGTTAAGGAGAAGAATATACAGAAGGGAAAATAAAAGCGAATTATCCCATAGCTCAAGTAACCCATTAACATTAAAACAAAAAGTACAAGGTTAGAAAATTCAAATGGTAGATGAAAGTTAAAAAAGGAAGATAGTCTCCTGCTTGGGGCCTCCTCCGCTACCCACCTGAGTCCCTCATCCAAGGCTAAGAGTTTCTGGTGTTTCATATCAGAAAAAAATTTTAAGCATTATATGTATACATATATGAAAAATACATGCTGGCATAATGTGTAAACATATGGAGTGAGACATATGCAGTATACATAAAGTATATACAAAGGAGATCATATATACCCTTTTCTTCCTACTTCCTATCCCCCTCTCCACCAAGTATATTTTGGAAATCTATTCATTGTCAGCACATAGTGATCTCATTCTCATGGCTGCCTGTCATACTGAATCATATAGATACACCATAATTTATTGCACTCTTTACCTATTGATGAGCACTTAGGCTGTTTCCATATTTTTGCTAATATGAACTGTATAATGGAAATTATTTTTATGTATACAATATGGTAAACTGTAATATTGTATATTCGAGTATAAACTTGTAGAAGTGAATTGTTGGATCAACAGGTATAACATTTTAAATTTTAATAGATATTGTCAAGTTGCCTTCTAGAAAGTTGCCATAGAGAAGTTTAAAATTTGTACTTAGTCCCCTGCTCCTTTTTTAAAAAAAATTCTTAATACATTTTTAGAAGAGATTTTACCTATCTCTTCTTTTATGGATTTTATGCCCTGATAGGACTTCTCTACTCCAAGATTATTTTTAAAGTCTTTTATTTTTAACTTGGAATATTTACATTTTCGATTTCTACATTTAAATATATTCAGTCCATCTGGAATTTACTTTGGTTTAAAAGGTAGAAGTCCCCAGCTTAACTTTTTCCAGTTGGCCAGCTATTTATACCAATATACCTTATAATACATTCAAAATGCCTCCTTTAATATATATAAAATTCTCATATGTATTTTGTTACACTGATCTGTCTGCAATATCATACCCTACTACTCAACTCTTCAAATTACTGTGATGGGTTAATAAATTGCCCTTCATCTCTTCATAGCCATCACTCTAGAATTTTTAGGAGAATTCTCTGGGCTCTTTTCAGATGTTTATATTTTTCCACATAAACATTAGAATAATTTTGTCAAGTTTAGAAAACAAGAAAAATTGGTAATTGCATTGAAATTAAAGAATCATGTAGTCCATCCACTGAGTTTTTAGTTTTGGTTATTATAGTTTTCATTTCTAACATTTCCATTTGGTTTTTCTTTATATCTTCCATTTCTTTGGTGAGACTTTCTAGTTTTTCATTTGTTTCAAGTGTGTTTGTAATTGCTTACTGAAAAAATTTTTATGATAGGTATTTTGAGATCTTTGTCAGGTAACTATATTATCTCTGTCATCCTGGTGCTGGCATCTATTGATTGCTTTTTTCCATTTAGTTTGAGATCTTCCTGGTTCTTGGTATTTTAAATGATTTTTCATTAAAACCTGACATTTTTGGTATTATATTAGGAGACTCTGGATATTATTAAATTTTCTCTTTTAGCATGCTTTTCCTGATACTCCAATAGCAGGGAATGGGGGTGCTGCCTTATTACTGCCGGGTGGGGTAGAAGCCCTGGTTCCCTACTTAGTCTTTGTTGACATCTGAGGTAGCGGGGAGGGAGCTCTTCATTATTGCTAGTAGAGATGGGAGCTGTGACTCCACAGTAGGCCTCTAGTGTTAATTCCCTGGCAGTAATGCCTTGTTATCGCTCCCCAACTGGCCTCCGTTGACACCATGATGGGGGGTTGCCTTGTTAATGCCAGGCAGTGGTCAAAGTTCTGACTCTCCACTAGGGTGCCTTTTACTGCTGCATCAGGGTGGAAGTACTGGCTCCCATGTGGTCTGACATGGACCTGACATGGGTCTGACACTGACACTGTGGTGGGGTCCTTCCTTGTTAGTGTCTTTTGGGAAGGAAAGGCCTGAGTCCCTACTCAGACTTTTCTGATACCATCCTGATTAGGGGTGGGGATTGAGGTGCCTCATACAGTTCAGTGAGGATGGAATCTGGGTTCCCTTTGCTGGTGTGGGTATGGGCAGGACCACAATATTTTCTGTGGTATTTGCCTGGTATAGAGCATTTATTGTCTAAATGTTTTCTGTTTTCCTAGTCTGCCTCTTTCTTGGTCCTTTAGCTGCAGAAAGCAGACTTTTCTTAGGGCTTTTATTTATTTATTTATACTCTGCACCCTTGATGTTCCTGGCTTGCTAGTTCTTCAGTGTCAAGTCTGAGATATCTGAGGCAAAAAGTACCCAGAAAAGTCACCACCATGCCCCTCCTTCAGTCCCAAGGTCTCTAGCCAGTCTGCCCTCTTCTGTCTACCTTTGAGAGTCTTCTTGTGTTTGTTTTATGTATAGTGTTCAAAATTCTTAGTTGTACTTAGCAGAAAGAATAGAGAAAAATATGTCTATGTCTACTCCATTTTTGTCCCAAAGTGGAAATCCCTCCAATACAATATTTTAACTTAGCAATTTAGCAAAAGAAACAAAAAATAATGCCTGGTACTTGCCGTAGGGGAAAGAGTTGTTATAAGGAGAGCTGATCTAAAAGTCTCAATCATATAAAGGTGATCTAAGGAATAAATCAGACAGCATATAAACACATGTTTGTAAAGATGTTCATTGCATCATTGCTTATAAGAAAAATAGCAGACATGACTTATGGAAGATTAGCTTAGTAAATATATATCCAAAGAGTAGAATATTATGAGGTTGATAAAAATGTATTTTGATGCTGAGCATAGTGGTTCATGCCTCTCATCTCAACAGTTTGGGAGGCCAAAGCAGGAGGATCACTTGAGGCCAGGAGTTCAAGACCAGCCTGGGTAACATAGCAAAACCCCATCTCTACAAAAAAATGAAAAAAAATTAGGTGGGCATGGTGGTGAGTGCCTGTAGTCCTAGCTACTCAGGTGGGTGAGGTGGGAGGATCACTTGAGCCCAGGAGTTTGAGGTTGCAGTGAGCTATGATAATACCACAGCACTCCAGCCTAGAGCAACAAAGCAGAACCCTATCTTTATTAAAAATAAAAGAAGGTATATTGATACTGATGTTCAGGATATATGGCCACCTGAAAAAAGTAGATTGTAGAGAAATATAAATAGTATGATATTATTCTTACATGATCACATATACATGAAAATAGTCAGAAAGTGAATTCACCAATTAACAGTTGCCTAAAAGGGATTGAGAAAACAAGGAAAAGACTTTCACTTTCTAATTTGTGTGCTTTTATATTGTTTGAAGTTTTATGATTAGCATGTAGTACTTCTAAATTCAGTAGAAAAAAAAAAAAGAGCTCCATCCCATTGCTGCAAAGGAAAACTTGCCTTACCTTCTTAAAGAGATTTTCCTCTGTGAAATCAAACACAATTATTTAGGTCAGTGGTGTCTTCACGGTATTCTTTCTCATCCTCCATAAGGATTTATTGAGCAGTACTATACATGGAGCTTCATCCTTCATGCTTTCCTGTAGCTTTCTATTTAGTCTGAGGATGTATATCTAATAAGACACATAACAATGATAACAAAAAAGCTAAGTGTTAACTAACAGTAAAGGTATTATCATGGGGATTAAGCTGAGGGCATGATCAATGATGTGGGCCACTAGGAAAGATATGAGGAAGGAAGCAGGATCTGAGCTGAACTTCAAAAGAAGAGTAGAACTTAGACAAGTGGAAGAGGAGGCGTAGTGCAGAGGGCTTCTGGAAGAAATGCCTTCCAGGCAGAAAAGTGTTATAACTAGTGGTGGGGGCTGTACCCCCCTGAGCGTGAGGAAAACAGAATAGACCTGAACTTGTCCCTTCCTCACAACCCCAACTACCAAGGCCTAATTCAGGGGCTCATCATTCGTATTATTTTCTCTTGTGCTAGTTATTTTGTTTGTCCCCTAATCCCATTCTTGGTCCTTCTTTTTCCTGCCCAGGACTCTGGACAGCTGACCTCCATAGCATACAGCACTTGACTCTTCTGCCTTTCTTGTGTTGGGTTCAGGCACGAAGTAGGAGGATGGGAGGAGAAAGAGGCCAGGGTATTTCTTTACTACTACTTCCTTGCTTTGGTGGGATTCTGACAATGGCTATAATCCTTGAAGACCATAGCTTCTGTAGGCATCCTTTCCTCTCTGGTTCCAGCAGATCATGAAGACCTAGGGGTAGTAATGGTTCCTTTAAACCTGGCCACATCTTTGTAAATAATCACTTTATTAAATAGCCTCTTCAAAGTTTCAAAGGTTAGTGTGTGTCTTTTTCTTGCCAGAACCTTGACTCTTCTTACTTGGACTCTGCCTCTAATGTCTCTTCTTCAATTCACACTCTACCCTGTCATTATAGTGATCATATGTGCTGCTCTGACAGAGGTCTAACGAGGTGGGCAAGAGAGCCCCGACTGTCTATTAGGTAAAAGTTCACACAATTAGTGGTTGGTCACCAGTGTTGCAGTTTGAGAAGAAGGAGTGTGGACATGTTAAGTTCCCATGGGAAAGGGAAGTTGACCACCCTAACAGCTACTCAGTGGAGTGAATTTATCCTCAGTTTACAATCTGGCTGTTAGTTAAAACACCTGGCAGCACAAAACGCCAACACATTGAGAGTGGATCCGATTCACAAAGGCTGCCTTGGATCACCTATTATTAAGCCCTTTAGGAATATGTCTTTCCCTTTATTCAAGTCTTCATTTTATCCCATATGGTTGGATCATTTCTTTAATATCAGGAAATGGTATTTGTTCAACAATTTAGCTAGTCCACTGCATGCAATTTTTGAAAAGCAAACAAAGTTCTTCCACCTAAAACGAAATGCAAATTATCCACAGGTGACAGATCAGTAACTGCAATGGGGTCCTGCCAAAAGCACATTAAGTGTTATGGGAATGAGTAAATGTGGTGGAGTGTTGCATTCATTAGGATTAATGGAACATGAATCAGGAAAATAAGAAGCACTCTTGCACACACTGAACTGTCTCCACAGATCCACGTATAAATCAATGTTAACATTACATCATTCCTAATCCCAGTGCGTTATCAACTTATGTCCTTAAGACACTATTTACGAGGGTGTCGATGCCATGCTAGGGAAAAAAAAATCACAGAAAACATTTTGTGCTTAAATAAGCTGTTGAAATGGTGGATGACAATAAAGTTCAACAGGTTTCTTTAGGGTAACCACGGGTCCTCATTAGCCTGCCATGATCCTGGTTTAAGGCTGTCATATTATTGTCTTGACTAGCTGAGTATTTATCCTAGACAAAAGTGACCCTATTTGGACAACAGATTATACGGGTACACTTTTTATGTGTGACTTCTCAGAGTCTTGTTAGATAACCACATGCACTGTGAACTTCCAAGAGGGATGTTCAGTACGCTGAGTATCCCGAACCTATCTGACTCCAGAACATTTTTTTCCAGGCCAAATGGTATTAGCTCTCCTCTCCACAGAATAGATCAGGATTCCTTGCTTTGCCATCTAACTTAAGTAGTTTAAATATTACCATCTTCATAGAAGATGGTGGGTAGCCTTGGTAATATTTGTTTATTAATGTTTATATTTATTTTTAAAAATTTGAAGTTATACTTTTCAAATAACTGTTAGAGCTGCAAATATTCCTCCCTCCTTGAATCACAATGTTTTCTTTACTAACCATTGACTTCATATAATTTTACATCCTACTATTTTCACTTGATATCATAATTTAAATATTGGCTGTTATTTTTTAAAAAATCCTCATAAATATTTAAAATTCCTGGACTTAGAATTTCATAAACATCTTTTTTAGTTCGTTTTGCAGTTGAGAAATATAGGGAACAACTCATTAGGTAATTGTTAAAGGATGTGAATTTACTTTGTTTTTTATTGCAGTAGTTTAAAGTACGGACTCTGTTACCAGATTGCCAAGGTGCAGCTCCTGAGTGCCACTTACCAACTGTGTGACCTTAGGTAAGTGGCTTAATTTATCTATGCCTCAGTCTCCCCATCTTCAAAATGGGAATGAGAGGGTTGCTGTGAGGATTAAATGAGAATGTGTGGAAATCCCTGGCAACAGAGTGGTATATGAGTGCCTTCTGTTTTTATTATTATTATTATTGTTGTTGTTAGTCATTCATTCAACAAATGTTTCTTAAGCACACCCAACATACCCAAGCATTTTCTTTGGCACTAAGAATAAAACAATGAATGAAAGTAACAAAAAAAAATCTCTGCTGTAATAGAGGTTTAATCTAGTGGGGGGAAACCATGAAATCAAAATACAAATATATACACCCAGTGGATAACTGTTATGAAGAAACCTGAAGGATAAGGAGCAACAGTGGGGCAGTAGGAAGTTAGATTGTAAACAGGGATCAGCAAAGGCTTCTCTTCTAAGGTAACTGTGAGGAAGAGACTTAAAAGAACTGAAGAAGGAAGCTGTGGGTTTACCTGGGCCAAGAATGTTCCAAGCAAAGGGGACAGCATGTTCAGGGTGCCAGATGAGCTGGCTAGAGCAGAGTGAGCTGGGAACGGGCTTATAGAAGAGGAGGTTAGTGAGGAAATGTGGGGCCATTTATCTTGGGTCTTGTAAGGCATGGCCAGGACTTTGGATTTTATCCTGACAGATATGGAAGGACAGGAGGGTTTGGACTTATGAAGAGGCCCACACTTGCTGCCAGGAAGGGTACTGTAGCAGAAAGCAGGGAGACCAGATAAGCACTGCAATGATTTGAAGAGAGATGATGGTGGCTTGCATAAGGGTTGCAGTGGTCAATGTGGTGAGCAATGTTCAGGCTCTGGACAGAGAGAGTAGAGCCAACAAGGTTTACTGATGAATTATATGAGATATGTAAGAATGACTCCTGGGTTTTAAGATACTGAAAGAATGGATTTGCCATTTATTTTGATGGGGAATATTGTGGCAATCTGAAGCTTGGTTTTAGACACATTAAGTAATTGTTAGGTTTGTTCCAGGTGGGAACCCGAAAAGTATCCATAGGACAGAATGTGGTTAATGCAAAACTTAGGCTTGTAAAACAATAGCCACAGGAGTCTGGAGAATCCCCAGATGTTGTAAATCTAACAGACAACTACAGCCAGCATTGCTGTCCACCCTCCACCCCCATAAGGATGAAGTTTATCCCTCCCTCTCTCTCCTGATAAGGAGGCAGCCGGAGGTGAAGGATGGATATGACTGGGGCAGGGGTCCTAGGAGCTGGTTGTTCGAAAAGAATTAATTACAAGCAGTTGTTCTGGCCCACGTACTTACTCCCCCTCCCTCCAGAAACCCTCTATAAAACCCAAGGCTCTCCCTTTTTCTTTTGTGGACGCTTTTTCACCTCCACCCATCTGCACCCAGATGCTCAAAAAAAAAAAAAAAAAAACACACACACACAGCAATTTGCTACACATGAGGCTTCCTGTCTCTTTCTCTCAGCTCCAGACCTAACAGTAATGACGACACCTATTAAGTAGAGATGTCCAGCGAGCAGTTAGATATACCATTATGGAGTGTAAGAGATCTAGCTGGAGATATAATTTTGTTTGTCATCAACACTTATTGAAAGCTATGTATTTGTTTAAAGTCACCCAGGGATTGAGTGAAGTTGGGAGGGAGTCCTGCTGAGTGTGGGGTCTGGAAGATGAAATGGAACTACCAAAGACGTGCGGGATGGAGGGACATTTGAACAGACAACTACGGGAGTCGTGTTGTTATAAGTCACTTATTTGCCAAATTATTTTCGTTGATGAGATTTCGGCCCACAAAAAGACCCTCAAGAGAATTTTCTGACTCAAGATTTCAGAGAATGCTGTATCAACTTTGACTGAAACTTGAGATTCCTCAGTGAAATAATTCCTTTTCCTATTTTATTTTTTTAAAGAGCTGCCATGGTGCTGGAGGGGCAGGTCCCCAGGTCCCCGGCGCGCAGGTGTTTTCCACCTAACACCTGATTGGGCCTCAGCGGGAAGTCCCAGCGGCCAAAGTGGGCGGGGCAACGCCGGGTCAGCTCTCACCAATCAGCGGATGTGTAGCGGGAGGGAAGGCGGTGCCGCCACCTCGGCAAGTTCCGGGCAGGTGGTACCGGTCGCCACAGCGTGGGAAAATCCTAGTCTCGTTTACCCCTGGTACCAGTAGTTGGAAGACTCACCTCGAGCTGTGTCCCGCTCGCTGCTGTAACCCCTGGTTTCTTGGCTGCACAGACAACTCAATTTTCCTAGGGAAAGAGCCTCAAAATTCCAGGATCCGGCGGCCCGAAGCTTGCAAACCGCCGCGCGGGGCGGGCTAGGGGAACTGAGATAGCGCACTCCCGGGAAACGCATGCGCGCGCGAGCCTGCGGGGCCCGGAAGTCAGAGCAGCCCCGACCTGTAGGCCTGGGGATGCGGTGGTGTGCTTTCCTCCCGATTTGGAGCGACCGAGCGAATTCTTTGGTCCCGCTAGTTGCTTCTCAGTCGCAGAGTTTTCATTCTTACACCTTTCCATTCCAACTCCATCGTCATTTCTCAGCTGCTGCCACTGTCAGAGTATAGCGGTCACTGTTCCGGGACAAGGATTGGTCCATTAAAGTGACGCTCCTCAAACTCGGACATGCGTAGGAACCATTCGGAGATCCCATTGAAATGCAGATCAGGATTCGGTAGGTAGGGGTGGGGTCCCAGATTCTGCAGTTTTAATATCTTCCCATACAATGATGATCTTCCTTGTCTCTAATCCGTGGCGTTGGAGGGCATTAGGGACATGTGAGCGTAAATGGATGGTGGCCTTGGCGGCCTTAGGTGTTGCCCGATAACCAACGTGGGATTAACTGTGTGAATGCAATGATTTATCTCTGGTAATAAAAGGGCAGTTTGAAGGAAATTCCAACACGAAAGTAATTAGAAATGTTTTTCTTCCCAATCCAACTATATGAATACATTTTTCTTTGTGTCATATGTTCATTTTAGTAATGTCATACGATTTGTAAATACTGACGTTCACTGATATTAGATATCGTCACTGTGAACTTTCAAAAAAATTGATAACAGTACACAGGTCTTCATAGATGCATCTTCTACTTGGTGTTTCATGAGCATTTTTAAAGTCATATCATTTACTTCTTTTTCCTCCAATTTTTCTGAAGAATTTCAAGCATAAAGCAAAGTTGAGAGAATTTACAGTGAAGCAGTGGAGCAGTTCTGAAGGAAAGAAGAAGGAAGGATTTCCCCCTTCTCCATTTTGCAATGTCCAAAGACATTTTGGGTTGTCAAAACTGGAAGGATGCTACTGGCATTAAGTAGGTAGAGTCCAGGAAGGCTTCTCAACTCCTGCAATGACAGGATATCCCCCTACAACAAAGAATTTGCTGTTTCAAAATGTTGATAGTGTTGAGGTTAAGAAGTGCTGATCTAGAGAATATCATAACATTTTACCAGCTTTATCACATATATGACCAATCTTTTTTGATATATTTCAAAGTAAATTGCAGACATTAGTACAGTGCTCCCTAAGTACATCATCATGCATATCATTGCAGTTCCAATTAAGTTTTTTTGAGATAAAAATAAATTGCATATCTTAAATATACATTTGAGTTTTAACAAATGCATACACCTATGTAACTCAAATCCTACTAAGATATAGAACATTACCATCACCCCACAAAGTTCCTTCATCTTCCTTTTTAGTCAGTCCCCACCCAATCCCCCCCCCCAAGAGGCAACCACTGTTCTGATTTTTTCTCACCATAATTAGTTTTGCCTGCTCTAGAACTTCATATGGTTGGGTTCATACAGCAGGTAATTTTGTGTAAGGCTTCTTTCACTCACTATAATATTTAAAAGATTCATCTATGTTATTGTGTGTATCAGTTTCTTTTGATTGCTTAGTAGTATTCCATAGTATTAATATACCACTTTTCCATTCTTATTTTGATGGAAACCTGGGCTGTTTCCAGTTTGACTATTATGAATAAAGCTGCTGTGAACATTCTTGTAAAGTATTTCATTTCTAATGACTATATTTCTTCAGTAAACATTTATTAAGCACTTCCTGTGTTCCAGGCACTTCTAGGTACTGGAGTTATAGCCATGAACAAGACAAATATGTCCTATGTCTCAAAGAGCTTACATTTGCATATTTTTGTGTATGTATGAGGAGGGAAAATACATAGGTAAAAATGAAATAAAAATACCAGATAGTGATAATTGCTGGGCAGAGAAGTAAAATAAGGCGATGTGAGTAATCAGATGATTGTTACCTAGATTGCTCTGCAAATACCTTTGCGAGGAAGTGACTTTTAAGGTGCGAACAGAATGAGAATAAGATACCGACCACGGACCATCCGGGGAAGAGTATTCCAGTCAGAGGAAGTAGGAAGCACCACGACCTAAAGGCTCTGTTTTAGAATAGGGAGCAAAACCAAACAAAAACAAAAAGGGCCTGTGTGGCTGGAGCTCAGAGAAGAAAGTTTTCAATTATCTCAGCAGTAAAGGGCAGGAGAGCCAGTTTCCCCCAGATTTAACCAATTGTTACTCTGACCAATTTGGTGGGTTAGTATGCCACTATATTAATCTACTTTTATCTGATTACTAGTAAGGATGAACATTTCTTCATTTATTTGATGATCAGTTGTTCTTTTATGATGAATTACCTGTTTACATCCCTTGCCTGTTTTTCTACTGAGACCTGATTTTTTTTTTCATAGCGATTACTGTGCCTTCTCTATTAAATTAAAACTTTAGGGCAGAGAGATCCACGTGCAATTCATTTCAGAGAGGGCTTGGCACAAAGTGAGCACTTAAGTATTTTCAACGAATAAACAAATGTTTGAAAAGTTTACCTCCTGCAATTTCTCTTTAATACCATCTTTCAGTTCTGCTTTAAAATTCACTCTCGAATTTTACCTGTTTATTCTGATGTGGCGCAGTAAGGTTAATTCAAGAAAATTTACGTAGTCAAGTATAGAAGTTGACAGGATTAGGGGAACTGAGAGAAATGTAAATGTTTCCCCTCTTAGCCAGACTTCATATGTAACGTGCTTAAGAAAGGTAACCATCCTGGAGACTCAAAGGCTCAGACCACCACGAGGTACCCACATTTTAGAAGTATTTAAATAACTTAATAGTTACACCTGAGCTGGAGAAGTCTTTGACAGCCAAACACCTTCACGCGGTAGTTGCGCCCGGACTTCCGGGGCGGGCAGTGCGCAGGCGCAGATTAACAAACGCGGAGCTGAGGGACCCTGGGGCCGAGCCATTTCCCATAATACCGCGTCCCGGAAGTTGTTGCTTTCTAGGGGTCACTCTGGCTTCAGTTCTGACGCTCTCTATTCGTCACCGCGAGGAAGACGGAGCTGGCTGCCCAGCCCAAAGGCCCATTAGGGGTGATGCAGTTATGGGCGCTGTCGCCGTGGGTGAGTTCTGGCCCCACTGACTCAGAGTCACCAATCGCCTGACTTCCTGTGCTCGGAGAGCCCGAATTTTCCGCCCCAACCTCGTTCTCGAAGGCCCTTCTTGAGCATGTTACCCGGCTCCTTCCTGGTACTGCGTTCTCATTGGCTGTATGTCTTGTCAATTCCAGGAGCTGGCCAATGAATTGCCGGTGTTGGCGCCCTTCTCGACCCCGTAGACTCCGAGGATCCCCCTTGGGTGCCGAGCAGTTGGAAGGGGTGGGGAGGGGAGGAGAGGTGAGATGTGGCAGGCGACAAGCAAGTGGTGGGTGGTGCGCGGCAGGGAGCACCCTACGAGTTGGGGCTGGGTTTGCAGCCGCGTCCATACGGTTGTTTGGAAAAGCAGGATCTGTCACCTGTCCGAATGGATGCTCTTAGGAGAGGACCAGTCTATGCAAAACTTGAGACTTGCTGACAAAGTTTCCCACACGTTTACGTTTTTAATGGAACCGAATAGGCAGGGGAAGACCGGGAGAGCAGAGAGAGAAGGGAATTGGATTAATGTGAAAGCTGGCAAGACTGGCTTTGATTTAAATTTTGTGTGGAGTCCTGCAAAGAGTAATTTGACTGAGACGCTAATTCTCATCCGAAGACTCTACCTGAAGAATCCTATAAACTGATGTTTCATAGCTGATGGCAATCACAGTTCTCTTCTTATGACTCATTAGTTACTTTATAGTTGTCAAAAATTTACTGGAGCTCTTTCCACAGCATTGGAATGACCTACTATGTTCTCAGTCTGCAGCAATTACAATTCGTCTTTCAAGTTTTTCTTTGGCGTCTGATCTATTGCAATCCCCAAACCAGATTTACTAGTGCTGTCTTCACTACTGCAGACTTCTGACTGCTTCATTCTTCATCCTTTTTTTCACCAGAACCTGTCTGCTTCATTCTTATGCACCTACCTTTGCACCTTGTAATCATCCTTTATGCCTCAGGTACTGTTCTATTTTTCTATTTCAACGCAAGAAGTATTTCTCGACCTACTGTGTACTAACGCTATGCTAGATGCTATAGGCAATTCAGAAGCTATGCCTAAAACCATTTCTTTCTCCAGAACTTCAGATTCCGGATAGAGAAATAACATATGTCCAGATTAAAGGTTTAAGAAGCAATTCACTGTAGTATCTGATAAAGGGACAGGATAAATAGTGCACGCTATAAGCACTGGGGAAGTTCAGTGGAGAGGTTTATTTAATGTAGCATGGTTGCCTAAGTCTTCATTGAAATGGAGAGCTTGGAGGATTGGTAAGATTTGGATAGGTGTAGAGAACATTGCAGCTAGAAATCAAAGGCACCTAGAGAGGGGCAAAGTGTTGTGGAGTGGAGCGTACTGAGGAGATGAATTTGATTTGGTGGGGAAGGAGGGGTGGTCTTGGAACCCAAAGGTGTGCGTTTTTAGTGTTGTTGTGAAAATCAGATGCAATAATGTTTGTGAAAGTGCTTTGAAAAGCAAAAGCACCATACAATTATAACTTCCGTGGGTTTTTTGTTGTTGTTGAGAAGTAATGAGTGTCAGGATCACCAGAGAATTGGGACCAAATTATAAAGGCCCATGAGTGCAAAGTTCAGGAGTGTGTACTAGGAAACTATTAATATTAAATGCTTTCAATCAAGAGTGATGTGACAAAAATGGCATTATTGAAATGTTGCACAGATTAGAGGGAGTTGGATTGGAGGCAAGAAATCATGGTTTTTATTTTCTTTCTAAAATCTACAATTCTAGATAAGTTATGTTAAATGTTATTTGTAGAGTGGGGGAAAATGCATAAAATTTACTTCATTTTATA